AATATTTATAAACATCTTGTCATTAATCTTCATGGCACCCTTGTAAAGTAAATAACTAGTGAGACTGTCTTTATCTGGCAGGAGGGAAATTGAGGCGTTCGAGAGTTGATGTGTGAAGAAAATTGGGGTCTACGGTCTAAACGGTTTGTTAAATCACTTCTCTTTTTGGTGGCCACCGTGTGCCTTCCCTTCCCTGACCACTGAGCTCTTAGGTGGTCACGGAAACCCATTTGGAAACACTTCCGATAGAAACATTTTCCTGGATGTGTGCCAACTTCCTGCCTCGGGTGAAGAGAGGGGACCCTTCTATGTCCGTGTTGGGAGACTTCAGGTGGGAGGTATGTTCTTCCATTTTGTATTTATTTGGAAAGGAATGATCTTTCCAAATAAATCCCAATTCCCAGGAACCAAGGGGTAAGCATTTGAAACGAAGGGTGGTATCTTGCCGCCCTCTTGCTCCCCAGCAGAGCTGCCGGAATATGATTAATTCAGGGCTCCCTGGGAGCCCCGAGTCCCCCATAGGGACCTCTGGGTGCACATTTCCTCATGTGGCCCCCAGGCCATTTCTGTCTGTAGACTTGAGGAATCTTTCTGTCAAGAGAGACAGATGTGTGTGTATAACTACCTCAGAGAAGGTGTCCTTTAAAAAAGATTTTTAAATTGCTCTCTTTTGGCTGCCTGATAATCCTCTTTCAAAACATATACCTTAATAAATTTATTTTTTTATGTGTGTTTTCATAGCATAATTTTGTTCTCTGGCTTTTTATTTTAAAGCTCTATTTTTTCAATTACAAATTCATTATAGAAAATTTGTAATATATAGAAAATATAAAGAAGAAAATCAAAATCACCTACAATCCTACCACCCCCAGAAATAAGAAATACCTGTTACTAGTTTGGTGTAATTTTTTAAGGTTTTTTTCCCTGGCTTTTGGTTTTCTTTTGGGGGGGGGGGTACATATTTGAGAGGACATGTGGGAAGTGGTATTTAAAAAATCACAACATAGGGCTTCCCTGGTGGCGCAGTGGTTGAGAGTCCGCCTGCCGATACAGGGGACATAGGTTCGTGCCCCGGTCCGGGAGGATCCCACGTGCCGCAGAGCGGCGGGGCCCGTGCGCCATGGCCGCTGAGCCTGCGCGTCCGGAGCCTGTGCTCCGCAATGGGAGAGGCCACAACAGTGAGGGGCCCGCGTACCGCAAAAAAAAAAAAAAAAAAAAAAAATCACAACATGGATACTAGGAATACTACTGGATATATAATTGTTTCTAAGTCTTTTTAGCAGTTAGAGCTAGAAAATATATATTTAAAGATAAAATCTCTAAGAGTTTTTATTGACATTTCTTTTTTTTTACTTTCCACATCACTTTTTGAAAATTATAATTTTTTAAATTGAAGTATAGTTGGTGTACAGTATTATATGTTACAGGTGTACAATATAGTGATTCATAATTTTTAAAGGTTATACTCCATTTATAGTCATTATAAAAATGGGATATATTCCCCATGTTGTACAATGATATTTCTAATTCAAGTTCAGGACATAGGAGTTTTATATACCCTCTTCCAGTTTATATCTGCATCTCTTTTCTTCCACTCTGCAAATCCTGGTTCTCAATGACACAGGAATGATATAATTAGAATATCCCATATTAACTCTCATGCTTTACTCTACATTACTTACACAATAGTCTCAGGACAAGAGTACAGATATTCCCACCACTAATAAGACTACTGACAAGAGTTAATTTTTTTTCTTTTTTGCAAAGTCTCTCCCCATTTATCTTCCCTCCACTTAAAAAGTTATACCATATCTACATTGCCAAAGCACATAGACACTGCACACTGCCCTCTCTCCCTTGTTCTGTAATAACTGTTTATTTCATGTTCATCACTAGGCCTTATGTCCAGGTGTCCCTGGTCAGTTTGATTGTCTGAAGCTTGTGCTCTAATAGATTCATCAGAAAAGACTCGTGGGCACAGTATTTCCTGAATTCTTTCCTATTGATAACAATTTGAACCTTTCATACTTGAAAGTCAGTTTTGCTGGATATAAAAATCCTTGACTTGCATTTTCTTTTCATTAGTATCTCAAATATGTTAGTCCATTTTCTTCTGTCCTATTGTGTTGGAAAAGGCATTTTTATTATAAATCACTTCCTCTTTTTGCTTAGAGGCCCAAAGGATTTTTTCTTGGTCTTAAAATCCAGTAATTTGTGGGTTTGATATTAGTGGTTCTGGTTGACAGTCTCAGATATGTGAAGTATTCTTTCAGTATATAGTGTTAACTTTTTTCTTTTTAATTTCAAAAAAGTTTCCTTGCATTACAGTTTTAATATTTATTCTATTCCTTTGCTTTGGTTTTCTTCTTCTTGGATTCGTGTTACTGTATATTCAGTGTTCTTTACTTGTCTTCAGTATTTGTCACTTTCTCTTGAGTCTTTTTTTTTAATCTCTTAATTTTGATTTTTTAACCCTCCCTTTTACCTTCTATTCCTCCTAAGGCATTATCTGTTGTGATTATTAACTCTCTGGTCCATCTAGCTTAGATTTTATTTCTGAAATTATTTTTATATCTTATTCTTTCTTGAGTTCAACCCTTTCTGCCTTCTTATAATTTGATTTATATTGTTCTTTCATATTGTTTTCTTAATGTATTTTGGCTCATCTTGAAATAGTAAGTCATGGTTTCAGTCTGCTTTGTGATCAGGTCTTTCTGACACGATTTCACTGATTGTTGGACTATTATTCTGCTCCTTATTATCATTTAAAAATAGTATCTTAATATGGAATTTGACTTCAATACTTTTTACATTTTTATTTGAAATTAATTTTTCTAAACTTTAGAAGGAGATGTGGTGCAGGATAGTCTGATTTTATACAGTATCTTCTTCTGTTGTTTTCATGTAGTATTCAAAAATATGACATTTCTGGCTAGAAATTCCTGGCTTTCTTTTTTTCTGCCATGCTTATCTGGACCTTCTCTTTCTTTCATCTGTATTGTCCCTATCTTGCTGGATTTTGATTTAACTTCCAGCAGAGTCTCCTCAGTTTAGGGTCTTGTCCCAGCATTGCGACCTGACTGGTCAGTTTCAAGGGCTTCTAGTGGATAGACTGCCCCATCCCCTCCAGATGCCACTGTGGGAGTGGAGGGGTCCTTCTGAACACCATCTGGTTCTGGAATATGGTGGAAATTCAGCTCCTGCCTGTCCTGCTGACACCACACTGAGGCCAGACTTTCCTGAGCAGCAGAAGGGCAGGGGTGGAAACACAGCTCTTCCAGGAAGGGGATTTCATAAACACCGCTTTCCTCCCTCTGAAGGCTTTTCTCCACTTCCTCCTGTCATCCACTCCTCACTTCTCAGTAGCAAAGGCAGATCAGACTCAGAAGGCATGGGAGGGAGGGAGCCGGTGACTGGGACTCTTCCTCCTTCTCCACATGCTACGTCTTTAGCATCCAAGGCTCTGAACCCCCTTCTTCTGTCTCTTCCAAGCCGTAGGGAGATGACAGTACAGGCTTGTGTTAGCATCTTGTTGAAAAGTCGAATTAAGCATGGTGAAGACAGGGCTCATTTATCTTTTCTTCCTTTCTTCTCATCTGCTACACTTCCTCGTGTTCATGGCTAAAGAGGGGGCCCGCTGAAATGTTGAAAAAGAAACCCCAAAAGAAACCCCTGCCCTCTGGATCCCGTGTCACACATTAGTCATCTGTCAAATCCTTCTACCTTCTACAAAATGTTTCCTAGCTCTGGCTTTTCCAACCCATTGTTACTGTGAGAAGCTCTGTCCAGATTTAGGTGAACTGACCAGAGTGTCCTGACCTCTTCCCCTCCTTCCTTCCTTCCTTCCTTCCTTCCTTCCATAATTCATTCATTTCATCAGGCAATTATCAACTGTTTTGTGGCAGACTTTGTTGGTGCTGCAGATTTGGTTTGGAGACTCCAAAAAAGAAGATTCAATCCTGGCATTCTGCTTAACTTACAGCCTAGTTGGAGAACACTTGACAACAAATTATTACAAGGCAATGTGACTTGCTTTGCGATAAACGAAACAAGAAAAGAATGTGAAAGCACAAAAGCCTTACAGAGAGTCTAGGCTCTGAAGGATAAATGAAAGTTTGCTAGATGGAGAGTGGGAAGGTCCATCCCAGACATGGGGCCAACGTAAGAGAGTTGACACTGGCACATTCAGGGGCTAAGCTGAGAAATTTGAGATGAAGCATTGAGAGACGTAGGGGGAAGTCAAACTGTAGAAAATGATGGGAAACAGAATTTGGAATTTAATTACACAGGAAAGGGAGACAAGGGTGGTTTTTTAACCAGGTGAGTAATGTGATCAGCCTTGCTTTTGCTGCCACATAATCCCACAGGCCAGGCAAAGAGCCGACAGGCGTGGAGACATCAAATGGCCAAGAGCAAGATCCCAGAGGAGGCAGTGGGTGAGGCTCCCAACACCAGCTCCTCTGCTCTAGAGCTGATGCCTTCTTTCAGTAACAGGTGTTACTCCTGTTTTCTCTGAAATTCTCTCCATGCATTGCCCGTAGCAACTGGAACATGTTGTTCTACAGAAATGAGAATTCAACTGTGTTGAAAAATGGAAGAAATGACATAGGGAACTATATTCAATATCTTGTAATAAACCATAATGGAAAAGAATATGAAGAGGAACACATATGAATATGAATCACTTTGCTGTACACCAGAAACTAACACAAAATTGTAAATCAACTATACTTCAATAAAAAATAAATTTTTTTTAAAAAATGGAAGGAAGGAAATGACTCTATTGTGAGTTCTGTGAGGACAGTAATGGTCTTTTTTCCTCTATGCATCCCCAAAACATAGCCCAGTACCTGCTGTGAAGGAGGAACTCAAGAAGTCTTTGATGAACTAGACTGACTACTCCGAAAGCAATCGGAAGGGTGTGTTAGTTTCCTGTAACAAATTACCAGAAACTGGGTGGTTTAGAACAACAGAAATGTATTCTCTCACGGTTCTGGAAGTGAGAAGTCTGAAATCAAGGTGTCAGCAGTGCCGTGCTCCCTCTAAAGGCTCGAGGGGAGGATCCTTACTTGCCTCTTCCAGCTACTAGTATTTTGATGGGTGGGGTTGCATGCGGCTGGTGTAGAGAGTGTACAGCCGGGAGGCCTAATCTGGTCAAGAGGAGTGTAAGGAAACATTTAGCCCGAGTCCTAAGGCAAGGGGACCCTTACTAGATGAGGATGGGGGTACTAATCAAGGAGGAGAAAGTGATGTGAGGGAAGTGCCCTAAGGCAAGAAGAGCTTACAGAGTGAAAGAGAGAGTGATATGAGATCAGGTAGAGAGAAGGGTGGACATGGTGCCAGCCCCGATTAAGCTACAGGTGTGAGATTAAGACGGGGGGAGTCAATGTCGGGGTTTGGGCAGGGACGTGACCTGGTCTGACTTGCATTTGAGAGAGACCCTCAAATGGAAGAGAGGAGAACGAGCTGGAGCCAGCCCTAGGATCTCAAGGAGACCTGTCAGGAAGCCAACACACAGTGATACGTAGACCTTCTGGCTGGGATGCTGGTGAGAAGGGGCACGTGGGCTGTTACAGGTTTCTGGGGTGAAGCCATGAGGATGCTCTGGGAGAGACTGAGTACGTTTGAGTGGTAACATTGGCTATAGACTGGACTCAGGCCACCACAGGGATCATGGTTATTGCATTTTCATGAAATATTCCAAATAGGCAAATCTGTAGAGATAGAGTGCAGCTTAGAGGTTGCCTGGGAGCAGGGTGGGGGGAAAGGGGGAGTGAGTGCTAACATGCTCGTGGATATGGAGTCTCTTTTCGGGGTGATAAAAATGTTCTAAAGTTGATTATGGTGATGGTTGCACGATTCTGTGACTATACTGATGCCGTTAAATTGATACTGTAAAGGGAAGGATTGCATGTGAACTGAATCTCGATAAAACTGTTTTATTTTTAAAAAGTAAATATGCTTAGTATATTTAAAATCTAATCTCCTTCCTTCCTTCCTTCTATCCATCTGTCAAGTTTATAAGCTTGAGATGGAATATGCTTAGTCCATGAAATGAAGCATAATTACATTGTCAGTTGGGTGATAAGAAAAAATAACAACCCAAAACGGAAAGGTTTGTTTAATTTGAGGAACTGCAGACAAAGAGAGAGAATATCTGCTGTGTAAGCAAGTCTCCTCAGTGATATTCATTCCTTTTCTCATTCAACACATATTTATGGGACATTTATGAAACATTTGAGGCACCGCACTAGGTGCTATTTTATGATTTCAAAGCAACACATAAGTACAACTTCCATAGCAGAGACCTGAGACCAAGTTTCCCACGTTTTATAACCAGGCTGTCAAGGCTACCGTCTCTCGTCCTCCTAGTAAGTAGTTTACAAGAGCTGACTTTGGTCTATTACAGATTGCTTACAAAGATTAAACACACTATCACATTTGGAAATCTCTCGATATTTACAGAAACGTAAAGCACTTTCACAGAAAATTCATAAAAGAGCTGTGTGTCTTGAACAGTGAGTTTGTCTGGTAGCACCGTTGGGGATCTTACACTCACAGGGACTTGGGTGTGGAGAAGCCTCTCCATCACTGGGGCTTACAGACCCGCTTTGGCTTAAGAAGGGCGGAAATCTGACCCAGCTGGGACCAGTAGCCAATGCCAGCCTGATGGCTCCTGAAAAAACTGGCAGATTACGAAGTTGCTGTCAGGAGACTCAGGTCTACCAAGGTCAAATCAGAACCCATCTCTCCTGAGAGCAAACCCAGACCTTAGAGTCACGTGACTTAGAAGTGTCGTGTCCACGCCAGATCCTCTGAACCTGCGTCTCTAGAAGAGGGTCAGATGACGCTTGCAGTCCCAGCAAGTTTGCAAACTGCTGTCTGTGGCTGAATTCAGACCTGCTGTGGATTTCCAAGAGCCCTTTTAAAGTAAAGAGAGTCGGGACTTGAGCCCAAGTCTGGGCTCTTGACGGCTAGGAAGAATTCCCTGGGCCTGCTCTTATTCATGTTTAAGTCTTCAGAAGTTAAGTGAATTGGGTTCTGGCCATTAGGCCTATGGGCAGGGAAAGTCGCCATTCATCTTATCCTTCATTTAAAGATCATTCCTTTCATCTGTCTTCGGCATTTGCAGGTCAGTCCAATTACCTTCCTCCTGGAATTAGCGATGAAGTGGGAAAATAATCCAGGAGAAAAGGTGCGTGTATCATCCTAGCGGGTATCGTTCCGATGGGACAAAATGCGTTTAGAGGAAGTAGAATTTTCCTTGGGAAAATAACATACCTTTAAAACAAACATCAAAAGAAAAAATTCTAGCCAAATAATTAAGCCACTAAAATATATGCATTGCTCTAGGTAAAAAGGTTTTTTCTCCATTCAGTGTCTGAATTTTCTTTATTATTTACCAATAGTCATGATTCCAAAAGTATCTTATTCTCATTTATCTATTCAAGACTACTTATTGAGCAACTGTACTTTGTCAGACAAATATCTGAAATTTTATTATGGAACTTGAAGATGTGAAGGACGAGGGAGGGGAAAAATTGGCAGAACAGGGCAGGAAGGACAAATCCGAGGCTGTGTATCTGTTTGTACCCCTGTGGGATCACTGGGTTTCTTCTGGGTCTCCTTCCTTCACAAGGGAGCACAGTGGGCTGCACTGGACTCATTAGAACCCAGTCCTTTAAGGAGAAAGAAACCTTTGAACGATAGATGCCTATTGCAACAGCCAGCGCCAATGTTCCGAAAGCACTAATTGGCTTCCGGCCAGGGCACAAAGGCTGATTTGCCTCCCAGCTGATTCGATGGTCTGGCACTTTACAAACCCATTACATAAATCCTTAGAAATCTTCTGTGAAGGTAAATTTGATATTTTTAAGCAGTGATCCTTTGCTCTCATGATTCAAGGCCCAGGAACGGTTTCCAACCTTCTTGAATCAGGGTGAGCATACATTTTCATTTTTCAAGGTCAACAATACATAAGGGCTTCATCGTCCTGACGAGACCTGATCTTTTGCCCTTTCCTGACAAAAAGTCTCATTTGCAGATGTGCCTCATTTAGTGCAAACTCATTTTTAACGCGATGATATATGTATATGACTCTGATCATATAGAAATGCAGTTATCCCTTGTTTTGCAACAAGAGCTCCTACAGCAAACTTAGAAGACTAAACTAAAAACATTTCATCTCAGGCTCAGTGCCTCTTCTTCGGGGTTTCTTAAGGTCTCTGAGGTGGCACTTTGACCAGACTGTTTCCTAATCCAGTGGCTAAGTGGTTAGTGACTGGGATTTGACTCCATCATGTGGCCACCATTCCCCGTGCCCCACCATTTTCCTTGGAATTCTGGGTCACTCAGAGGTCCACTTTGCTGTGGTTGTTGAATAAGCAGTGCTCCAGGACACTGGTGCATCAAACTTACGCTTAGTTGCATCACCATTTCAAGCAATGACGTGAGATTTCTTTAAGTATGTCCACACCATCATCAGCCAGACACCCCTTTCCCCGCCCGTGATGATGTCAGGGGTCGCTAGTGTCTACACTCTGTACGGGTTTCCAAAGAGAGGCAGCCTCTGAGTGAGCCTTCCCACAGGCAATCCAGCGCCTGCCGTGTGCATGTTCACACCACGATACAAGGAGGCTCACAAGGAGGCTCACAGAAGCCCGTATCTATTGGAAACTCTTCTGCTCCTTCAGGCAGGGAGAAACTTTCGTGCACTCAGACTTTGGGAAGGAACGTGTATCTTTCACTTTGTTCCATGAATTCTGCAGTTCCCATTGATTTTGATTGCTGGGTGAGCCAAGCTCAGATATGCCCTTTCTGGGACTTTGTATAAGGTGAAGAAACCCCACGAGCTGAGTTAGAAATAGCAGCTACTGCTTCACGTGGGCCTCCTTTGTCCCAGACGGAAGGAGCAGTATGGGATGGTGGCCGTAGACCCTGAGGGTGGCTCCCGGGTTTAGACAGGGCACAGACAAGGGCCTGCTTTGTGCAGAGCAGGACAGAGAGGGGCCGGGATTCCATGGAATACCTGCCCAAGGTCTGGTTGCTACAGGGGGAGGCCCTGCTTAGTTCATCTGAGTACACGGAACGAAAGGAGAAAATAACCTATAGTTGAACAAATGAAAAGCTAGGAGTTTCCTTACCTCCGGAAAAAGCAAAGTGGTTTTGTTTTTGTTTTTTTAAGAAATAGGGACTTTTACGTATAGAACCATCCAAGACTGATACATTTACAATTGTCTGGCCTTGACTGAACTGACGAAGCTATTAGTGAAATAGGAGACGGCCAGGCCTCCCCCGTGGGGCACGGCACACACCGCGCTAGCAGTTCAGGACAGCAGCGCCAGCAGCGCCAGCAGCGCCAAGGCCAACGTGCAGGCGCCCGGCCGCACAGCCAGGGCCGAGCTGGCTGGGTCCTTCAGCATGCATGTCACCCGGGACCAGGACCCGTTGTTGGGCAGGGGGGCGACACCTGCCACGTTGCACATGACGTTGTAGACATCCACGGATCTGATGGGAGCGGCTCTGAAGTTGGATTTGAAATCTGAAAGGGAAAGGCAAGCAAACGAGTTGTCACGGTCACTCCTGGGCAGGGCAGAGACAGGCATGGAGTCACGATGTGGAGGAGTTGCATTCAGCATCCAGGCAGCTTGGGACTGGAAAATCCTCCTCGTCCGTGGGGCCTGGCCAAGGGATTGTGGACCTGGAAGGAGATCTGGAAGGTTCTAGCTTATGGTAGGAGGTTGCTTTCTATGGCTCGTGGAGATGTTTCTTTGAAAGACAGATCAGACAGCAAACTCTCTCTGTGCATAACTGTGCTTCCCTTGTGACAACAGAGCTTTCCTTGGGGACCCAAGGGCCATCTGAAGCTGCTCGTTTCTGCAAGCCCTGTGGAGCCGCTGTGGTCACAGAAGTTTGACTGTCCTGCCGGGCTCCCCAAACCCACTCCAGCTGCATACTCTTCTTCCAGGCCACCTATCTGGCAGGGACTGGTTAGCCTGGGCGCTCCCCAGTTCAAGAATGTGTCCCATTTTCCTGCCACATGGAGGTCCCAGGACTGGATGGAACCTGAAATTATGTAGTTTCCTCAGTGTGCCTAATTCACAAGCAATAGCAACGGTCTCCTAAGTATGTCTGGAAGATCAGTTGCACATTCCTTGGGAGCCTTTCACTGGCAGATAAAGTAACTTAGCTGTGGGGAAAGTAACGAAACTGGTAGTGGAGTTAGAGACCTGAGTGAAGGCTCAAGGGAGCTCATGAGGGAGAGGGCTGTGCCTCTACCCAAGGCTGTGCCAGACTCCACGGACACATGGGCCCCCGAGGGCCTGGCTGGCTATTCACAGCATAGCAAGTAAGGGTGCTGAAGGAGGGACTTCAGTCCAAAGTGGACCCTCTCTTTCTCCACAGGAGGCAGAAAAGATGCTGAATGAAAAGTGTTTGTTTAAAGAGTGAGTATGAGACTTCAATAATATTCATAAGCTCCCAACCAGAGCTTCCAACAAAGTACCCAAAACTTAAGAAGCTGAATTCAGGAAGGAGTTTTATCCATCAATAAAGGCCCATGCGTGTGATTTTAGTCCCTCTAAAAAAATTTTTTTTAAAACAGGTAGTTTGGGGGCTGTAAAGCCAAGTTTTCTATCTTAGAAAATAATCTTTATAATTGCTCTGCTAAAATGATCACATATACTTGATTTAAAGAGCAAACAAACAGCAACATAGCCCAGAAGTGTCCACACCAAATTCTACTCTTGTATTAACCCTGCAATTATAAATACAGAAGGAAGCTATACACTGAAAACTCTGCCACAGCGTATGTTAGACCCAGGGCAAATTCCCAAGTGACGGGTTTTGCTCATTTTGAAGAATTAAAGTTGAATTCAGTATAAAGAGGTTCACGGGCTCTACAACCAGCCTGTAGCCACTTACTAGCTGGGTAACCTCAGGGGACAGGCATGGAGATGGCGCCTAAATCCTAGTTCCAGCCACACTGTATGTGCTCAATAAATGGGAGCTGTTATTAGTAATAGAATAAACGCCCACCAAGGGAAAGTATGGATTTAGAATATTCACCCTATAGATTATTTGAAGGGTTCACTTTACTTTTAGGGCAGGGAGGGTAAGAGTCAGCATCACCTCAGGGTAAACACTCACTTTAGAAAATCCAGAACTTCCTGGAAAGGAGAACGTAGAGGCTGCCCTGGAAGCCAACCTTTCCAATATCAAGGAAAACACTACAGTTAGAGAGGGTGGTGGTAACGCTGCCTCAGCTGCAGCTGAGAAATCAGTGGCAAGGTTGTCCCAGGGACGTGGGAGCGACTCCCCTCCCTCTGACTTGCCGTGGACCTGGATGTGAGATCATCCTGCCACATCACCTGGTGGCCATGTCCTGTCACGTGGGAGGGTGGCAGACAATAGCATATCCAAGACAGCCGTCCCCAGCCTTTCAGACATCTCCTTCTTTAACATTTGGCAAGAAAATTTGAGATCAAGCTCTACTGACAAAAAATAAATGTTAGAAAAGATCATCTTTTTATGTTGAAAGTACAAAATCAAATCCGGTACATGTAAGCAGGAAGGAGAATTGGGGTTTCTTTCCCACTCCATCTGGTTCACGGCTTCCCGGTCTACAGGGCTGGGATTTTGGGCCCAGTGCAGAGATGATCCAGACTGGAATGAGAGCTTCTAGAAAATTCCTGAACAGCAAAACAATACCTGATCCAACTGGGAGAGGCCAGACAAGCCCTGCTAGCTCAAGATGGTGTGTGAACCTGGAATGGGAATCCAAGTTATTTCCATGGGTTTACATTTTTTGGATATTTAGACTGTTTCTCCTAAAGAAAGAAGGTTCTGGAGGCTCCCGCTGTGCCTGAACACCTTCGGCTGCTTTCCAAGTGAGGCTTGCTAGCTCGCTGGCAGCTCACTGAGTCACACTCCTGCTGTCTTATCTCGAATGTGGAGTTCTCCACGGCAAGACTAGGTTGTTCAAATTAGAAACTGGGATTAAGCAGAGAGAGGCTATCTTCCAGAATTATTTCCCTTTCTCTTAGCTGGACCAGACTTACTGACTTCTAAAGCTGTATCGGGGCAGCCGCAGCGATGCTCAGCGTCCTTCCATGAGCGAGAAGTACCTACAATTAATCAGGAGGGATGTACCTTTATCTCAAAGTGCAGCTAGATAGCTATTAAAGGCCTCGCTCTTAAATTTTCTTCTGAGTAAACAGTCAGTGCGTAAAGCTGTTCAATCTTTCATGAGAATTAGAGCCAGAAACGTGATGGTTTGTGGGAGGCTCTCAAGGCTGTATCTGCCTGGAAACATTTTTGCAATTAGCCCAGTCCAGTTTCATCAGGGGTCGTCTGTCTGTCTATAAAAGACTTAGGCTTTTAGTTTTAAAGGAACGTATGATGGAGGCCTTTGCTCATGGACAAAATCTCCCCACTGAATTTAAGCTATTGCAGCTTTGGGTACTTTGTTTAAAGTTTTCGGTTTGACGCTAGACGTGCTTCTGCTTTAAAATCTCCCGAGACTCTTACTCTGTAAACACTCCAACTGACAACTGTTTCGCATTCATGATCTGATCCCTCTCTTCTGGGGAAAGAGGAGGCGATGTCTTTGAATGAAAGCCCTGCTGGCTAATGTTCCCCCATATGAAGGCCATGGCCCTGGAACGTCTCTAACCTGATCTAGCAGCTGTCGCCTCAACATCCTCAAGGCTCCATCCTGAATTCACTTGGCTTTTGAGCTGCGCAGCTCTAGCCCGGGGCCTGGCTAACAGGGAGGGCCTGTTAACTGTTATCAGTTGATGGCGTCATGCTGGGGCGTCCTCTGAACTCTCTTAGGCCAGTGTCATGACCCCAGTTGTGCTCCATAAATGTTTGCTGCCACTGGTGCTGACGCTTACTTAAGGACACGGGAACCTGGATGACACGTGGGCAATGATTTGGACCGACATGTTCCCTAAGCTCAGGCTCCCAGAGGCGCCCAAGGAGGGTGCAGAAGCTGGCACCTTGCAGTTCTCAGCAGCTATCTTGTGGTAGGTAGAGTGACCTGAGGCGGATGGAATGAAGGGGGCTGACACATTTCTCTGTCCTGTTACATCAAGGAGAAGGGCAGGGCTTCCAGGCGTGATCTCTAACCTATAATTTGAAAGGAAAGCATGGACTTTCATGGGCTGAAACATTTTGATCAACATGCAGAAAAAGGAACTTGGAATATGGATCTTGGGGTAAGCTTACTGTGTTTAATAAGGAGTGTGGACAGCAGGAAGGAAGGTTAGTAGCTCATGAACCAGTCCACTGATTGTTGATGGCTGTTGACTGATTTTTACTCTATTTTTTTAAAAGGGGGTATTCAGGTGGTAGTATGATCTTTAGAGTGTTTGATAAACTTTTCTAAAATGTGAATTTACAGTGCTGTGTTTATTAAAGCAAATAACCAAAGAGGCTCTCTCCATCTCCCCTCTCTCCCTGCCCTGGGAATGTAGGTCAAGGAAGGCACAGTAAATTTGCTTTCATCCAAGACATCCCGAGTCATTCTGGCTTATTCTCAAAGTCAGTCACAGAATCATTTCCTCGCCTGCCCTTGAGCACATCCTAGCTTCTGGTGGGCCCTAAACCGAATGACCTGCGCAGGGGTGGGTGCTCTAGCCAGGGAGGAACTGTGGAAGAGTCAGACCCTGTAAAGCGATCGCGTCAACTCCAGGACGTGCAGCTGTCAGCAACCTGGTGCCTGATAAGCTTTCCTGGACATCAGATGGCTGTGAGAGAACATTTTGATGAATTAAGTAAAAAAAATGAATCATAAACATGTGGAACATGTTTTTCACTGCGCTCGAGATTTAAAACTTACAAGGAAAGGTATTTGGCCGTGTTTGCCAAAACCAAGAAGCATTTGAAAGCCAGCCAGCCGAAGACACTTCATGGAGACCGGCTGGGTTTGCTCAGCTTTGCTCATAAAGAGGGTCCATAAAGAAATCACTCCAGCTCTACTAGTGCCGTCAGCCCCTGGTGGCTGACGCTTCCTTAGGAAGGAATGACTAAGAGAATTCGGTCGTGTCTTCCTACCGGGTCCGAAGGCCAGGAAGATGCCCCGCATGTCCCTGAGCTCGTTGTCGTATCCGTGCCATCCGCGCTGCCAGCCTTGCCTCTTGTCAGTGCTGTTCATCCAGAATGGAAGCGTCTCTCGATTCTGCAATCAAGCAAAAGGCATTTACATCGCCCCGTGTCCAGACATCCGGACGACTGAGCATCCGGTCCAAACTGCCACCCAGTGGACTTCCTGCTCAGAGGTCTCAGTCAGGGTCATCCAACCTCAGCTGGATCACTTCCTACTCCAGGTAGCTCAGACCTTTGGAGACCGCCCATTAAATTGCCAAAGAGCTCTAGTTCTGAAGGTATCTTCTTATGTCGGGCTGGACTGAACCTCGTAAGCAGTTTTAGAGTCACTAAGTATAGCATGTCAGAGACAGAAGGGACGTGAAAGTCTACCTGTGGTATAATAAAAAATATAGTTGGGCTTTGTCCCGGGTTCCCTGGCCCAGAATGCCTAGACCCTTGGAATTTCCTGAGTGATGGGCGTGTTTAGTTATTCGAAATGAGCCCCTTGCTCTGATACCTGAGTTTATGCTAATGAGACTCGCTGGGGTAGGGAGCTACATAGCTTCAGGATCACCTGGTCACCTGAGGAACCAACCACACGATGAGAGGGTTAGAACTTTCAGCCACATCCTCTGACCTCTAAGATTGAGCTCAGCTATGTGGCCATGATTTAATGACCCATGCCATCACAATGAAACCCCAGATAAAACCCCGGGGACAGTGTAGTCCAGGGAGCTTCTGGATTAATGAACACATTGTTGTGATGGGAGGGTGATGCACCCAAAGAGGGCCTGGGTTCTCTGCACCACTCACCCGCATACTTTGCCCTGTGCATCTCTTCCATTTGCCTGTCCCTGAGTAGCATCCTTTGTAATAAGATTGTAATCATAAGTATAGCACCTTTCTGAGTGCTGTGATTCATCCCAGTGAATTATCGAACCTGAAGGGGGGTTGTGAGAACCCTCAAATTTGTAGCCAAGTCGGACACAAGAGTGGGCATCCTGAGGACCCAAGACTTGCGGTCAGAATTCACATGTGCAGGCAGTCTTGTGGGACGGAACCCCTTGAAGTGTGTGTCTGCTCTAACTTGGGGTGATGTCAGAATTGAATCGAATGGTAGGACACCCAATTGCTATGGGAGAATTATTGCTGGAAAACACAGCGTCTAATCGAATCACTTTGTTTCTTTAGTACAGCACGGAAGCCCCGAGGCAGCCGGCTTCCCACAAGCCCAGGGGCGCCCACTGCAGGAACCACCCGTCCTCCTTTCTTCCAGCTCCACCCCGGGGGGTGACTCGGAACATATTAGTCCCCTCCTCTCCATTTAGTCAACATTTGAAGATAGCACCCGTGTTCCTCTGCGCCAGGCCTTGGTGTCTTCACTTTCTTCGACCATTCTTCACTGAGGATGGCTTCCAGAACTATCACTGCCCTGTCACCCTTCTTTCCTGCAAAACTAAATTTTCTTAGACTGCAGCTGCTTACTCGAGAGACAACAAGCTTAAAGAAGGTTTTGCAAATCCTAAGGAGGCTGCAGCCAGTTGGACACAACCTGAGCCCTCCTTGGCGGACTAAGCCTTCATTTCCGATATTCTAGTCATCTTGCTCAGCACAGGGTTTAATATTACAAGTTTTCCAAATGCAGGAGGTAGAACTGACTACCTCCTGGAAGCAGAAGAGCTCAAGGACCAGGGATTTACAGGTTGTCTCACAAGACTCGTAACAACACGTGTATTTTGTGTGCTGTACGGTTCACCAAGAGCCTCCCCCAACGTGCACTTAATCATCACCACCTCCCACTGTGGATGGTATTATTTTTCCTACCTTGGCATAGAGAGGTTAAGTGACACTTTTAAAGTCACACAGCTGTTGAGAGGCAGGGCTGGGATTGGAATGCAGGTCGACAGTCTCCTGGTCTTCATGTGCCTTCCAGGACCCCATAGCCAGAGGTCGCTGCAGGGCTCCTGCCAGCACAGGACAGTGGGCTGTCCCTGTCCCTTGCCTCTTCACTCACTGAGTGGTGGCCAGTTCAGAGTATGGAGATAAGATTTTGGAATAGGATGTGGGTTGAATTCCAGTTTGCCACTTTCCAGCTCTGTGATCCTGGGCAAGCTGCGTAACTTCTCCATGCTTCAGCTTCCTTGCTGGATGTGATACTACCTGCCTCACAGAGATTCTGGAGGATAACCCGGCTGTGCGCTAAGCCCGAAACACAGTAGGTGCTCGATAAATGGCTGGGGATGGTCAGCAGATGCCACTGGCTGCGGGGCGAGGCGCTCGGGTACTGTGCGGCAGGGTCGAACCCTCCTTTGCTTATTTAGCTGTCACATCGCATTGCACACCCATCCAGTCTCACCCCATAAATCACTCCCTGGCTTTACCGCTTTCCAAATCACACTGTTTCATTGACTCTCTGTTTCCTGAATTGCCATCATCCCCTATCCCGCCTTCTCCAGCTGTAGCTTGTAGTTTTCAATGGGAATATATTTATTAACTTACTGCATTTCTGACTTATACCGTTTTTTGTTCTTTGTCTGTGGTGATGCTCACAACACATCCCAATTTAGCTTCGTTCGCTAATGTCACACGCTGCTCCCCCCCCCCCCAGTCTTTAGTGATTCCTGAAGAACTAGGTAGAACATATCACTGGTGATGTCACTAATCATGAACCCCATGGGACATATGTGTCCCATGACCAAGGGACAGGTGGAAGAGAGATGAGGACTGATTGCCTGATTTTAAAATTCCAGCTTAAACAACTACAAACATACAGCAACAAAAAATCTCAGCCCTGAAGGTAACTGGGGATCGGTCTGATCATAGGTCAATCCACCAGTTCTTATTAACACGACAGGTTGCTCCAGTGAAACAACTATTCTTACTGATTTTAAAAAGTAATAGTAAACTGGCTGGTTATGTGAGAAGCGAAGTGATTGAACGGATTACATGACATAATCTAATGACATTATGTAATTAACCTCAAGAAGGTGCAGGGATGATTTCCTTCCTCATCCCCTCCCGGTGGCTTTCACCATTTCACTGGGCTCTGTATCCCCACATCAGCATCCCAGCGCAGGCCTGTGCAGCCGTGTGACACATACCACACAGGGGCAGCCCTTTAGGTGAAGCACCCCAGACCTCAGTCCCCAGGCAGGGGGTCCTCAAGCTACTGGTTGAGCCTCACCCCTCCTGACCCTACCAGGCCCAGGGGCTGCCACACAGCACCGCCTAGTGACATCCTGGGGAGGTGCCCGAACCCTGCAGGAGAGCGAGGGTAGAGGGGTCTGTGTGTGAGCGTGAGTGTGTGAGCGTGAGTCTGTGTGAGCGTGTGTGTATGTGAGCGTGAGTCTGTGTGTGTGTGTGAGCGTGAGTCTGAGTCTGAGTGTGTGTGTGAGCGTGAGTCTGTGTGTGAGCGTGAGTCTGTGTGTGTGTGTGAGCGTGAGTCTGAGTCTGTGTGTGTGTGTGAGCGTGAGTCTGTGTGTGTGTGTGTGAGCGTGAGTCTGAGTCTGTGTGAGTGTGTGTGTGAGCGTGAGTCTGTGTGTGTGTGTGTGAGCGTGAGTCTGAGTCTGTGTGAGTGTGTGTGTGAGCGTGAGTCTGTGTGTGTGTGTGTGAGCGTGAGTCTGAGTCTGTGTGAGTGTGTGTGTGAGCGTGAGTCTGTGTGTGTGAGCGTGAGTCTGAGTGTGAGCGTGAGTCTGAGTGTGAGTGTGTGTGTGAGCGTGAGTCTGAGTGTGAGCGTGAGTCTGAGTGTGAGTGTGTGTGTGAGCGTGAGTCTGTGTGTGAGCGTGAGTCTGAGTCTGTGTGTGTGTGAGCGTGAGTCTGTGTGTGTGAGCGTGAGTCTGTGAGTGTGTGTGTGAGCGTGAGTCTGTGTGTGTGAGCGTGAGTCTGTGTGTGTGAGCGTGAGTCTGTGTGTGTGTGTGTGACAGAGAGAGTGAGGAGGCCACCAGAAGGCTCTAGCGCAGAGCGCGGGCAGCCCTGTGGCTCCGCAGTAGCGGCCCCCAGGGAGCTCTGAGTGGCGGAAGGGCTGACACAGAGGAGGCCCTGCGAGGCCAGGGGACCTTGTGTAGCGACCGTACGTGGGGAGAGCGTGAGAAGAAAGCACCGCGAGGCTGTCGGGAGGAGTGAGGCGGTGTCTACCTGAGGCTGTGCCAGTCCGACAGGGTGACCGACTGTCCCGGTTTGTCGGGGACTGAGGGGGTCCAGGGATGCAAAACTTCCTGTTTTAAAACCAGGACAGGCCTAGGCGAACCGGGGCAAGTTGGTCGCTCTGTAATGAACACTCTCTTGTCAATTCAAATAAAATCCTCACCAAGTCCATCTGTTCAGCACCTTCCAGTACCTTCCGGGACCCCTCTTCTGTACATGGGTGGACAGCAGTGCCGGGACACCCCCCTTCATGAGCCCCTAAACTAGTTCGTCATTTCCAACAGGAAGGACCCAGAAAGAGTTCACTGTGAGGAATGGTTGTTATTATGTTTATAGACTTGGGTTCTTTTATTTGGTGCCTGCGTTGTATTTTAATGCCTCACTCCACTACCAGCTCACCATGAAATGTCTACCAGAAGCCTGCTGAACTGGGGAAGCCAGATTACTTAGGAGATAAGACTTGTGTCTTTGTCGGAGACAAGTCTTTGAATGAGATCTTTGTCTCATTCATCCTTGGCATTAAAAAAAAAAAAAAAAGTAGCATTCGCTGTTTACCCCCAAATCAGCAAACCAGTTAATGAAGTTGGTTCAACGACTGCCTGGACCTATCTCTTTGACTTGCCATTTTTGGATTCCCTTCTGCTGCTGAGCTGCGATGTCTCGGTAGCACAGTCAGAAATGGGGGTGGCACTGGGAACGAGGATCAGGGTGGAAGCGGGGATGGAAGGCTGGGAAGAAGCAGAGGGTGGCCTGAACAGTCTGTAGTCATTACTGTCTGTCTGCACGTGGCCGAGGCACTTGCTTCGATAAACTGTCTGGTCATTTACTCGCTTTGTACTGTTGCATTTGGGGAATATATTAGCACGGATATTTCTCACCGCCTCCTTCCGATTTCCCCTCGGCGTAGATCAGAAAATGGTTACCAAGCCACAGAGAAGAATACTCCTGAGGGCGCAGGAAATGTTTTCCAGCTCCAGGAAAACATCTGGACTCCCGGTCTTGCCTTGCACCCAAAATGAATTCTCTTGGGGCAGCCAAGGAGGTGGTAATCCGTTCTTCGTGGGTTCCCTCCCAGGCCAGAGGCGCCGTTCGGGGTCTTGTCTGGGTCCCCCTGCCCCATCTGGGTGACCTGCTCTCCAGTCTTCCCCCTTGAAACTCACCGTCTATACTGCTGGATCCCAAGCCTGGCTGTGCACACAGTGCCCTGAGCTTATCCCGGCTCCCACTTTGGGTATTTGGCTTCATCAGGTCCGTAAGGCAGGAACTCTTGTCTATTTAATCATCGTCCCCCAGGTGACTGGGATGCATCGTCTGGCCTGGAAACCACTGGCAGTCATTCACCTGGCGTCTGTCCCGTGCCGTGTTCAGTGAGTATCCGTCGTTTCCTGAGAACGCTTCGCGTTATGCTGGGTTACCACGCTGAGGTCAGAGGCTGTGCCTCAGGCCCCTTCGTGGGGCCCCACAGAGCAGCGCAGGGCCTCCCTGCCAGAGACAGCACAGGGCCTCCCCGCGGTAGGCGCAGAGTCCAGCATGGAATTGCTCACACAGGCTGCTTTCCAAAGAGGAACCTGGGCGGCCAACCGGCTTTTCCCACCTGCCATTGAGGCTCATTGGCCGGCGCCAGGTTCACTGTTGGTTAAACATTTTGACCATCACCCCTCGTGTCAGCCACTAAAAGAGTACTTCCTGTCGAGGAGTAGGGTCAGGGACCCGAGGGCCCCCTCCTCCTCTCTTGATGAGGCCTCTCACCCCACCTCTAGGGCACAAGGGAACAAAGTTGAAATCTGGTCCAGTTAAAATCAATAAATAAAATGTGAACACCTGTCTAAGGTGTGTGAGGCGCCTAATACAAATGAAATCTACGTTATTCCCCTAGGACAGGGTTATAATAGCGACTTCCCATGCCCTCCACGTTGCAATAAACTCACATCATCTCAGGCTGGAAAAGGCACCCAGTGATGTATCAGAAGTGGCTTCGATTAGAACTCTTGTGGAAGGGAGCGCAGTCCGCCTGGCTCTGGGCTCTTGCTGCTAGGGTTAAGGTCGAGCTAGGCGTCTATTACAAAGCACCATGTCTCTGGTTTTGTGGCATCGTCATTTTAAACCCTCCTCCCGAGGGGCTTCCTGTGGGGATGACTCCTTGGAGCCCCCCAGAAACGGTGGTCGTGAACCTTCAGATGTGTGTTTGCCATGCGCCACTGCAAAGACTTGTCCCCCAACAGTTTCTCTTTCTCCATCTTAGAAGGCTGCCTCTTTCTAGGACGGAATTTAATTGCTCAGGCCTCAGGCCCCGGTCTGACCCTGGCAAGCCCGCTGCCACATGCAGCCTAATTCTGGAAATGGAAAATGACAGCAAAATCAGCAGGGACCAAGGGCAGCAGAATTCCTTGGAGTGGAGGGAGGTGTTGGAGGAGAGCACTGAGTGCATGGGCTTTCCTTTTTTTTTTTTTCGGTACGCGGGCCTCTCACTGTTGCGGCCTCTCCCGTTGCGGAGCACAGGCTCCGGACGCGCAGGCTCAGCGGCCATGGCTCACGGGCCCAGCCGCTCCGCGGCATGTGGGATCCTCCCAGACCGGGGCGCGAACCCGCGTCCCCTGCATCAGCAGGCGGACTCTCAACCACTGCGCCACCAGGGAAGCCCGATGGGCTTTCTTTTATTCTTTTCTCCCCCGGACCATGTTTACTGAAGCGTGCCAACAGTGAGGAGGGCGTCCGTGTGCTCTCCGACAGTGCATACCAATGACCCTAGTCACCCCCAGAAAGCAAGCAGCTTCCAGCCCCCAACACCAGCTTCCTGAAGCTCCATTACTTGGGCCTGGACAAAACCACTCCAGCTGCCACTAAAACTCAGAAGCCACATTCTCCAGCTTGTCTTGATTTCCCCAAATATTTTGGGTTCGGGCCCAACTGCCATTCAACCCCAGGCCTTAGAATTGAGCCCGGCATTTCATATCCTTTGCCAAGTTTCAAAGTAAATCTTTCCTCGGGAGACAAATTCGGGCCTCCCTTGGAAGCTTGGGCCTGAATTTGCCGCATTTCCCTCCACTCAGACGAGAGCCCAGAAGATCAACGATGAAGCGCCCTGTCTCACAGTCTTTCACCAGCTTCCGGCTGCATCTGGCTGACTTTCTGAGCACAGTGGCATGAAGTGGACACTGTTCAGGAGAGGCCGCAGGAATTAGCCCCTGGAGCTGAGTAGGGCCTGGGGAGAGCTGATGTATCCGCCGCCCTTGGGCTCCAGTTGTGGGCTAACGGAAGCTAGGACAATTGCCATTAGTGGTTTAACACCTTTTTACCTGTTGAAATCTCTTCTAGGGCTACTAATAGTTAGCCAAAGTTAAAGGCCTGACTCAGCTTTCCTCTCTGTCTACTTGGTCACTGATTTACTAACCTACAAAATAAACAACCTGTCGACAAGTAATCAAGAACCAACTGTCTCAATATTTATGAATTCATCTCTTAATTCATATATCACAAACATGTACCGAGTTTCTGCCGTGTACTAGGCTCCACAGAGGAAAACGAAGGTCAAGATGCCACAGACCTGCCCTCAGGGAGCTTCCACCCCAGGAAGGAAGAGTTCAAAAGCAGACAGACAAGTGCAGCACCTGGGGAGTGATTCAGGGTTTTGTGAGATTCCAAGATGGAGGAAATTAGGGAAGAGCTGGGTATTTCATGGAAGAGATGGTATTTGAGTTGGGCTTAAAAAACAGGCGGGAGTCAGGAAGGAGAAGGCACTCTGGATTCTACTGATGGCTTATTGGGCTATTGATGGTACCAGAACCCACTGAGTACAGGTGTGGAGAGCAGGTCAGGAGAGCATGGAGTACGTTGGGATCCAACCACTTGACACCCAACGCTTGAGTCTTGCATTAGAAAAAGCATTTTCACAAATATGAAAATTCTGGTTCAATTATGTGCAAATCTCCCATGTTGGTGAGAGGAAAGGAGAGGGCTGGTTAGGAAGAGTTTTTTGCATTGTGACAAAAGTAAGAAAAAAATGAATGCCAACGTTAGAACTGCTGTGAAGGAGCTGAGACTTATCTCCAGACCCCACTAGGAATCAGAAGGGTGAGTCCATGATTCCAATCCACGAAATCAGAAATACCTTGAACATTTTAGTGGAAGATTTGAAGGCTCTTTGGAGAACTGGATGGACTGTGT